CTCCTTAGTTGCTGGGATTACAGGTGTGCACCACCATGCCTGGCCATTAAAATTTTTAAATAAATTTTAAAAAAAGAAAGGAATAAAAGAAAGAAAAGGAAAAGAAAAAAGCCCAAAATAAATCATTAAAGCACAGTCCAGGAAGAGGATACTATAGGTGACTAACTTCTTGTGATCCCAGAAGAAAAGCCAGGTTTCCCAGGTTCACCATCAGTCACTGGGAGAGTGAGCACACTCTGAAGGGCAAGTGGTGGAAACCAAAGCAAAGTTAAGGTAGAAGTAGAAAGCAAGGGCAGCAGACAATGGATGTGCATTTAAGGCTGTTGGTAAAACTCTAATCTATTTTCTGTTCTTTTCTTGCTCCTGGCACACAGGAAAAACATTTCTTAGCCCCTTGGATTTAGAAGTTGTTACTGCTTCTCCTGCTGTGGCAAGAGGTAGAAGAAGCCTGGCTTTGAGAAGTAGGTGGGCACATTAGATTAGAGTAGCTTGCATTTCTGGGTCCCTGCATCAAGGACAGTTGCTCTAAGGAGTCACTTTAGTCTGTAGAAGACCTTGCCTAAATGAAGAAAGATTTGGGGCATTTCTATGCTCAATTTGGGGCTGTTTGTCATAGTAGCATAACCCAGCTTATTCTAACTAATGCAGATGGAGCCTTGCTGAGAGGATCAATAGAATGAGGAGTGGCTTTTTTAAAAAAAAGAATGAAAACAACCTTCCTAGTTATCATTTCTACCTATCCATTTGTTTTTTTCCCCTGAGAGAAGCCACTTGAATGTCACACTCCCTAGGAGAGGCATTCTTAAGTATAGGAAAGGCTTGAAAGTTTTTGTGTACTGAGAATGATCCCAAAGAGATGGAGAAGAGGACTTGCCTGGTCATTCAAATTTAATAGATGACAACAGGTATGCAATTCCCAACAAAAGAGGAAAGTTTACTTTGCCTAAAGAAGAGAGTCACTTCTTTCTTGGTGTCTTAGTCCATTTTGTGCTTCTATAACAGTATCCCTGATATGGGTAATTCATAAAGAACAGACACTTGTTACGTTTCTGGAGGATGAAAGTTCAAGGTCAAGGAGTCCTTATTTTGCTAGGGCCTTCCTGCTGTGCTATCCCACAGTGAATATGACATAGAAAGTGGGAGAAAAAGATCAAGAGAGAAATAGGGTTGAAGAGAATGTACTTCTGTGATACTCAAGAAAATAACACATCCTCCCCATATTCTCTGCTTGGTTGGCTCTTTCTGTTTTCTGTTTCTTTTCCTGTCCATCACTCCTCCAGCCGAGTCCTAGAAAGCTGATCAGGCTGAGTGGAGAATGGGTCTCCCTAGGGGCTGAGGTGAGGATAGATGAAGAGACACAGCGACCTTCCTGTGTCCTTTTCTCTCTCCCTAAGCCTCATCTTAAAATGGACAGATGAGTACCAGGGCTGTCTCTCACATCCCTACCTCCGGGACTCTTGCCTAGGCTGTATGCACATAGGGAGGGGTCTTGCCAGGTACTGCTGCTCCCTGCGTGAGCTGCAACTTAGACACAGTCTGTTCTAAGGAAATAGGAAAAATGCATAATTAAACAGAATGATAGACAAAATCCTTGACAGAGCTCTCTCTCCTTCTTTCTCTCCCTGTTACCCTCTCCTTGTTTTTCCCTCTCTTTTATATTCTGTTCTTTCATTACAGCTTTCCCTCTATACTCTATAATATCCCTCAAAAGACATTTTCTTATTTACTCCCTTTTTCTCTACTTCATTCTGACTTTTCACACCAGCTGTCTTGGAATGTTGGATCAGACCTCAGGTGAACCAATTCTGTAGAGAAATGAGCTCCATTGTATCCTCAGTACTTGAAACAGTATTTATCCTACCACTGATACTCAATAAATATTTGCTGAATAAATAAAAAAGGAATGAGGGGAAAATAATAATTTAGTCTAGGTTAATTATCATAAACCAAAAGAACAGTATAGATATTTCATGAGTAGAAGTATGAATGGCTTATCCCCAAATAACAAGTGCAAATTATAAGAAACCCTACATGTAGCAGAATCTGTATGCCTAATCTTAATTAATATCACACTACCAATTTTATTCAAATTATACTTTAGTAGCCATGATAATTTGAATAACATTGAATATTCAATACTAAATCTATATGTTGAAACTTAATTGGAATATATCCTCACTACTTTCCTGATCTGATATGATTGTTATGCTCAAGTTATGTTTTCTTTTCCTTCACAGCTATGATGCACAATAAACTACAAACAAAATAAAAAGTATTAGCAAGGTGCAATGACACATGCCTGTAATCCTAGTGGCTTGGGAGGCTGAGACAAGAGGAGCACAACTTCAAAGCCAGCCTCAGCAAATTAGCAAGCCTCTGAGCAACTCAGCAATGCCTGTCTATAAATAAAATATAAAGCAGGGAAGGTGCTGGGGCTGGTGCTCAGTGATTAAGTGCCCCTGGGTTCAATGCCGGTTTTTTATATCGATCTATCTATCTATCTATCTATCTATCTATCTATCTATCTATCTATCTATCTATCTGATAGATAGATAGAACGAACATTAGTACAAAGTATGAAATGTTCCAGATTTTGCACCTGTGAAATTATTCACTCTGAAAAGTTCACACTGTAAGTCAGGAAATGCAAGGACTCTAGAAAATAGGCATAACTCATGAATCATATTATTTTCCCAAAATAAATAATAAAAGAACCACTAGCTGGAGCTGGGGTTGTGACCCAGCGGTAGCCTAACATGTGAGAGCCACTGGGTTTCGTTCTCAGCACTGCATATAAATAAATAAAATAAAGATCTATTACAACTAAAAAACAAAACAAAATTGTTTATAAACAATTTGAGGGCATTTTGACCTACAAAGGAAGATAAAAAAAAAGTCTCTAAAGTAGTGGCCACAAGTGAAAACAATAGTTAATATTGCCACATGAGAATCCAGAAAATATATGCATTGCTGCATAAATATATAAATACCAAGAGAAATACAGTTTTGGATGATCCCAGTATGAGTCCATGAAGTAGAACTCATTTCATCCTGTAAACAATAATTCATTTTCTTACTGACTTGTTGAAAAGATTTTTCTCTCCAGAAAAAAAAATCACATCCATTATTTTTTGGTCTCTTGAGGTTACAGCTGTTAGTGAATTTCAGTGAGCCTTCAGGTCAGTCAGAATTAGTTAAAAAGAATTTAAAGAAGTAACTATACAATAACAATTAGAATATATAAACAAGGGAAGGGTGTAGAGCACAGTGGTTGTGCACATGCTTAGCATATGCAAGTCTTCCAGTTGGATCTCAACCAGCACACACACACACACACACACACACACACACACACACACACACACTGTCACACAGACTTTTGGAGTCACAGTATTGCTGATGCACATTGACATGACTTCCCTGCACAATACAGAAGCTTCCATTGGCACATTCCCATGAACACCTGTGGAAACAGGCATGCACTCAGACCCCACAAATGTTCACCCACAGAACACACTCAGAAAGATATGTACACACACACACACACACACACACACACACACACACACACATACACTTACAGTAGTCCATCTATTGTGAAACCAGAACTCTTGTCTTCTACAAGACTGAAGAACTGAGTTAGAGTTTGAAGGGTATATTTCCCCTTTTTACTTTCTGTTTCCTCATCTGAAACCTCTCTTGTCTGACTCAGATTACAGAGAAATATACCGAGAGCACTTGCGCGGCCTAGAGGAGAGCCAAGAGTGGGGAGTCAACCACAGCTACAACCAGCTGCTCCTGGTGGCCACACCCAACTCAGGGGACCCAGGATCACCTCCCAGCCCAGACCTGGAGCAAGAGCTGGATTCTGTTACAGTGGAGACTTTATTTGATCTCGGGGAAAAGCCCTCCCCTGCCCCATCCTTAGTGGTGCTACAAGGCTCTGCTGGTACCGGAAAGACAACCCTGGTGAGAAAAATGGTGCTGGACTGGGCCACTGGTACCCTGTACCCAGGCGGGTTTGATTATGTCTTTTATGTGAGCTGCAGAGAAGTGGTCCTGCTGCAGGGGTGCAAACTGGAGCAGCTCCTCTTCTGGTGTTGTGGGGATAACCAAGCCCCTGTCACAGAGATTTTGAAACAGCCAGAGCGGCTCCTGTTCATCCTGGATGGCTTTGATGAGCTACAGAGGCCCTATGGACAGCTGGGGAAGAGGGTGGGGAGTCCCATGGAGAACGTGCTGCGCCTTTTGATTAGGAGACGGTTGCTGCCCACATGCTCCCTTCTCGTTACCACGCGGCCCCCTGCTTTGGGGAGTCTGGAGCCCATGCTGGGTCAAAGGCGCCATGTTCATGTTTTAGGTTTCTCTGAGGAGGAGAGGAGGCAGTATTTCAGCTTCTATTTTAAGGATGAAGAGCCAGCCAAACATGCCTTTGAATTTGTACAAGGAAATGATGTTCTGTACACAGCGTGTCAGGTTCCAGGCATCTGCTGGATGGTCTGCTCCTGGCTGAAGGAGCAGATGGAAAGAGGCCAGGCAATCTCAGAGACACCCAGGAGCAGCACCGACATCTTCACTGCCTACGTATCCACCTTCCTGCCCGCTGATGACAGTGGGGGCTCCTCTGAGCTTACCAGGCACAGGGTCCTGAGGGGTCTGTGCTCCTTGGCCACTGAGGGGATCGAGCATCAGAGGTTCCTATTTAAAGAGGATGAGCTCAGGAAGCACAATTTAGATGGCTCCAGGCTTGTTGCTTTCCTGAGCAGCAGCAATTACCAAGAGGAACTTGACATCAAGAAGTACTACAGCTTCCGCACATTAGTTTCCAGGAATTTTTTCATGCAATGTCCTATCTGGTAAAGGAAGGCCAAAGTCAACTGGGGGAAGCATCCTCCAGAGAAGTGAAAAGACTGGTGGAAGCAAAGGAGCAGAAAAAGAATGAAGAGATGACCCTCAGTACGCAGTTTTTATTGGACATATTGAAAAAAGAGAGCTTCTTGACCTTGGAGCTTCAGTTCTGCTTTGAAGTTTCTCCCTCCGTATTGCAGGATCTTATGCATTTTAAAGAACAAATGGAATCTATAAAGCACCAGAGGAGTTGGGAATTTGAATTCTCCCTGTATAATACCAAAATAAAGAATCTTTCAAAAGTTGTTCAGTTGAGTGACATCCAAGTCAAGTTGTCACATTCAAATGAAAGGAAATTACCTACCGGGAAGCTGTTTTCTGTCAAAACCAGATTGGATAAAGGTCAGAAAGTGGAACAAAAATGCAATCCTGAGGGTGAATGCAGAGGGACAGAGGAACGAGACTCAGAAGTTAGAAGCAGCAGGATGGAAAGCAGGAAAAAGGGGACAGTGGAGATGAAGGATCAGAAGGATCACGGGATGGAGAAACAGGAGGATGGGGAAGGGCAGAGTGAAAAGATGGAGAAATGAGAGATGAGACTAAGGGGTAGCAGAAAGAGTGAAGGACAGAGAAACAAATAGAGAATTAGATTGCTGAGGGTCTGAAGGCTTGGCATAGCATCTGGGGAGAGGTCATGTGGACTGAGTTCTTAGGAACAATCATCTTTTACCATGGATAGCTGATTAGCACCCCTCCCTCAAGGGGCTGTTTATGACCGTCTATAGTGTGGAGTCCTCCTTCAGTAGCTCTCTTATATGTTAATGCCAATGACCAAGGCTTTGATTCTGCATCTGATTCCTTTTAAAAATAAAATAAGCTACTTAAAATAATCAAGCATGAAGTGAATTAATTTGGAGCATATCTGTGTCCACACTTTAAGGGAAATATACTGTGGCATAATGGGATGTCTCTCTGGCTCTGTATTTGTGGTCAACTACTGCTTAAGTAAAGAGCAGCCTTCTGTTCTTTCTAGAAGCTTTGAGAATTTACATTTGTTGAACATAAGCCACTGCTTGTCACAGACCTGAACTTTGATCTTGGAAGCTCTACTGTAACTTAATTTTATACCAATAACATGTCACTGTCATCTGCAGCTTTGTCATTAACTGACTTTTCTTTTTGGAAAGATTCGTCTGTTCCATGAATTGACTAATAGTATCTTTTTCTGATTTGGGTTCCTCTGTATAAGAAAAGAAGGAGTAAGAGATTCTAGGTGGAGGTATGATCAACTCTCCATGCTCATTTCATGGATGAGGAAACTGAGGTACAGTCAAGAGCCCCATTCATTTCTAGCATTCCCCAGAGAAATCTATTGCTTCCCATACCTCAGCTAATAGTGTTCTCAGAAGATAAACCTCTGAATGTCCTGGGAGTAATAAAACGGTGCTCAACTACATCCTGAGCTTTTCTTGGTCTCAAAGAGGTCCCAAAGTCTCTGTGCAGGCACCAATCCTACCCCATCCTAGTGTTTGTTGCTGACCCAAGTGTGGCTGTGATAGGTCCCCCCAGGCCCTACAGTGAGGCTACAGATGTTCCTCTTTTTGCTTTTAACACATTTTTTAAATTGCAGTAAGGGATTCCCACATGTGATTCCACATGTTTTTGACTCCAGCGATCTGTTAGACATGCCCAGACATCTGACTCCAAGGGAACTCAGTCTTGAATGGTCAATCAATGTGAGACCCTATGATACTAATTATTACTATTTATTCTTCACACAGGAAATTTGGTGGCTTGATATTTGATAATTATATAATGACACATTGAATACATGAATCAGGTATAGATATAAAACATGTCTTACAAAACATTGTGTGTGTGTTTCCATATACTTATTTAGAGAGCAGTTTGTTTTGGATTTCCAAAGCAGCAGATCAGCACTCATTGATCTAGGCTGTGTGGCCTTCTAAAGGACTCAGATGTTCTCAGAAGATCAACCTCTGAATGTCCCTGAATGTCTTGGAGAAGTTGGGAGTAATAAAACAGTGCTCAACTACATCCTGAGCTTTTCTTGGAGCCAAGGGGGCCTTTTTTAAGAAACATGAATCTAACATCTAATTGGGGATTAGGCATGTTACAATAAGTATTTCACTTAAGATTCATATTCATTTAAAATTAAAAATTAAATGACCCCAAACTTTCACTAAAAACAAATAAACAGGCTGGGGTTGTTATTCATTAGTAGAGTGCTTGCCTAGCATGTATGAGGCCCTGGGTTTGATCCTCAGCACCACATAAAAATAAATAAGCAAAATAAAGGGATTGTGTCCATCTACAACTAAAAAAAATTTAAAACAAAAAAACAGCCATCTGATTTCTGGTTTGGGGTATGGCTGTTTCTTTCTAACAATGTCATCAGGGCTTATACTAGTCTCTCTGCTGCTGCTTTTATAGTTGCTTTTAACCCTCATTCCAGACAGCCACTTTTATGCATCAGAGAAGATGGCATCTGCGCTCAGTTTAAACCATCCTTACAGCCAACAATTCCAGAGGAAGAGAATAGTCTTTACAATGGCTCTAGCAGGGAAGTTAGGGGAGGATTCTGACCTGCCCCTGGGTAGGAGCCAAGCCTCAAACACTGTGGCCTGGAAGATGGACTTCCCTGACCAGCTAGAACTGGATCTCCTAGCTCAGGTCACATGATCATATCCTCTGGATAAATGGCCATAACCCCAGGGCTGAAGGAGAAAGGATGGCTTCTCAAAGGAAGGCATTCAAAATACCTGTCACACAGATACAAGTATGGAATGAATTGGGGTTCCCTGAGGACTAGGCTGGGCAGAAGGGGTGAGAAGGATTCTCAAACCAGGCTACTGAATGTGGTGGTTAAAAGGAGGAGTGATTCTTGGTGCAGAGAGGCTGGGCCCATCCATTCCTTGCTTAGACTCCTCTGGATGGTAGGGAGAGAGGTAGCCATGATCAAAAGGAAGAAACTCTGTCCTTAGGGAACAACTATGGGACTCCCTTATGAAAAATGGGATTCCAGAGTGTCAATGTGAAAGAAGGTTTTCAAATGAAATATAATTAAATTTGAATTCAGATAAACAGTGAATATATGTGTGTGTGTGTGTGTGTGTGTGTGTGTGTGTGTGTGTGTGTATATATATTTGCAGGTGCATACTTATATTAAAAATGATTTGTTGTTTATCCAGATTTCAAAGTTCAAGTGTAACTAGGCATCCTGTATTTCCATTTGCTCCATCTAGCAATCCCTAAGTGGAGGAGATTTAGTAGTCGAGTAGGCAGCAACTATGAGCCACAGGAGTAAGACATCCATGGTTGTGGCTTATGTTAGTCAGCTTTATGTTGCTGTGATCAAAATACCTGGCAGGGACAATTTAGAGGAGAAAAAATTATTTTGGCTTATGGCTTCAGAGATTTAGTCTGTGGTGGGCTGACTCCATTGCTCTAGGCTCAGAGTGAGGCAGCACAGCATAGGGGAAGGATGTGGAGGAAGGAAATTGCTCAGGACCTGGTGGCATTGAAACTAGGATGAAGTGATTAGGTTACAGCTCTTATCATCTAATCATTTTACCTCTGAATGTTTCTTCACTGACACAAGAGCTTTGGAGGGACACCTCATATCTAAATCACACATGGTTCTTATTGTTCCTGAGAGCTTTTACCTCTCTATTCCCTGAAGGATGGAAAACAACAACCCCCAGGAGGAAAGAGAACAACAACCCCCAGAGAGAAAGGAGGACAATGAGTCTGGGGCAGGGGGGACAGGAGAAGGCAAACAATGGGCTCTGGACTTTCACCATTTCCCAGCAACAATGAACTTTGAACTTTCACAACTGCTCCCTCTGACTGCCCAACTGATGCATTCTGCTATGATTCAAGTCTCACTTAAACCCTATAAAAATCAGACCCCTCTTGTAACCAGTTGAAATTTTCTCTCCTAAAAAGGTGCTCCTCCAGCAGTTAATAAAGCATCAACAGTCCATCGAGGTCTGTCCCTGTGTCAGTTATTTTTGCTATCATTATTGTGTTGAAACCGGGTGTGGGAGTAAGGAGTCTTTATCCCTTCCTGTCCTAAGCAACCTCTTCCCTAACAGTCATGTTAAATGGCTGATGAGACCTGGAAAATGACCAGTGATCATCCAGCGCTTCTGTGGTAATCTTAGTTTGGGGAAGCTCCCAGCCACTGCTTGCACAGCTATGGCTGAATTCCCAGAATGACTGCCCCTCTCTTCCCCCACAGCCTTTATAGGAGACCCTTCACACTCTCTGCAGTCCACTTTGACTAAACAGTGGCTGTTACATGACCTGAAACTGGCCCCATTTTGGGGCTATATTTTTACTGCCTTATTGCTATGTGAAGGGAGCAAGGATCTGTATTGGGTCCTTTATTGGATTTGGAGGCATCCTCCTTCTAATCCTCTCCTTTCCAATTCCCCAATGTACTTATACCTCTTCCTTGCACTTAAAACCTCTGGATCAGAGACTGCTTTTTGACACTTTGTTTCTGCATGCAACACCAGCCTTCCTATTCTTCAGAGAAGTAAGATTTCTTGGAGGCTCTCAAAGAGGCAACCTGCCTAAGACCTCTGCCTTTGGCTTGTCTGGACACAGGGGTCCCCGTACCACAGAGGTTGTATCAGGGAACACCCTCTCATTCTTTGGTGGAACTGCTCCAGTGATGATAGACTTCAAAGGATGCTTTGATCTCAACTGCCATCCTGGTTAAATTTCTCCATCCTGGGAGCCCCCATTCCATAGGACTCCCTCTTAGGTTATTTCATAAATTATTTTAAGAACCTCTGCCTCATTAACTTTAGTACTCAGATCTGGCCACAGTATAAATTAGACCCCTAATTCCATAGTCCAAATTCAGAATTTGGGAACTTTGATCCAAAAATTTTCCAAAATTTAGACCATTTTCTCCATCAAAATGACAAATAGTCTGAGGTTTCCTACCTCCAAGCTTTCTCTTACCTTCACTCATAGTGCTCATTAAGCCAGCCCCGCTCTGCTCTACAATTAATTCTCACTGACTCCCCATTCCATAAACCCCCTAGATAAGGTCCCGACCCCCAGCCCTCTTCTTAATTTAAAGTCAAAAGTTGGGATGGATTCCTCTTCACCAAGGTGTTGGGAATGTTGGTCCTAACTTGCTTCAGTTTCTTTTCTGTACGAGAAATTTGGTGTTGGACAGAGAAAGGTTTGGGAAAACTGAAGGCAGCTGGCCAGGGCCACTCCCTGGTGCCACTTGAAGAGCTCATGTCCTGAGTCTGACCCTGAGAGCCCTCAGGGGTACAAATATCAACTATCGGCCTTTTTTTTTTTTCTGACTGCTTCTGCCCCAATTCTGTCCATGTTGTCTGCCTCTTAAACAGGGACTCATATGAGAGATTTTCAAGATAGAGCTATTCTAACTTTAAAATCACATTCCTCTCATCTGGCAAGAAGAAGACCAGAAAATCTGTCTCACTTAATTAGAGTAAAACTACCCCTCATCTGTCCTAGTTCAGGAATATAAATTATTTATTTTCTCAAGTGAAGATAACCAGGGCACTAGCAGGCTTGCTTCCCACTTCAAATTAAGGAGCATAAAATGAAATCATGGTCCTGTGAGTAGGAGAACCCCCAAGGACAAAGGGAACATGTAAGAAATTTTAAGGCACAACAAGCTGGCAAATGTCCTCCCTGAAATTAAAATAGTTATTCAAAGTTGAGAATAATTTTCTGCATTATCTATTATTAAGAGCTCAGATTACAGTCAGTTCAGATATTGGAAAAATGAGAGAGCTCTGAAATCCTTAGGTAAAGATTCTCAAAGTAAAGAAAACGTGTATATATGAGATCATGCCATCTTTTCTCCCTGTGCTGTAGTATTTAGGGAGCAACTCAGGTGACTCTTAATAATAGATAAGAGCAAGGTCAGTTTGATGAGATTGGTTTTGAACACCTAGAAAAATAGTTATAACCAAAATACAGCCATACCTGAACATTTAAAAGAAGAGACAATAGTTATTTTAATGGAACTTAAAATGTAAACTTGTGTCAGCTCCACAGCCCTGGTGCCTCCGAATTTCTGAAGCATTTTTTTCTTTGTGAGGCTTATATTTACCGCTGCCTACCAAAAATTGGACTGGCCTCTCTACCTTGATCTTCCTTACTCCTCAAATTGAATTTGACCTAAACAACCAAAGCCTATCCACTCCAATAACAGCACACGCCAGATGTAGGAGAGCCCTCCAAGTTATTCTCTTGCTATAAAAAGTTATCACAACAGGTTATTGAAGACATCCAACAGGTTTCTGCCTTAGTACTGATTTTATGAAATCAGTTGGACTCCCTGGCATCTCTCATCCTGAAAAACTGGTCAAGGAAGAATTCTGTTTCTATGTAAACCAATCATGAATGCTAAGAGACAAGATTATATGGCTCC